GCAAACTAGATCTTTTTACGAAATCTTTACAAATTTTCGACCACCAAGACTTTGACAAGCACTATGAGTGTTATCCACCTTTTAACTTTAACCTGACTGATTGAAAACCTACCTCCTTTAGTGGAGGTAATGAGCTGACTCTGATTCTTTCTTGCGAATGACTCAGGTTCACCGTGAGCAGCTCGGTTCCGCCATTATGGCTGATAATCGACTGAGAGGAGACTGGTTCTTGACTAAATGTTTTCTCTAGACGCCAGTCCGTGTCTGTCTTTTAAAATTTCTTGGGTTGTTCGCCTTTTTGCTGCCGTCCATAAGGGTTTTTCGGTCCGTCTATCTCATGATATCTATTATTTATGTGGTTTACTAATACAAACCAGACAGGTTACGTCAAAACTAAAAAACTGCGTGATCATTTCAGCATTATTTGAGGGAATCAATTTGAATAAATATATTCTTGTTTTAAGCCGAAAAAAAAAACAGACCCCATTTTCTTAGGCTATTAACTGGCTTAAGAATTTTAAACAATGATCTGTATCAAATCGCAGATTCTAAACAAACTTTTGCTCTTTCAGATTCCTGGGAACAAAATGAACTCTAAAAACTTAGCTATTATAATTGGCCCGAATATTTTACACAAGGTATGTAAAGGATGAAATAAAAATTAAATTTTAATAGAAATCGGAATGTACATTTGAATCATTTTTGCGTCGTCGTATTGATTTTAAAATTTTATGATTTTTTCATTTTACTTTTGTTTCATTTCTATTTCTTTTCCCTCTCAGGTAAAAGGGCAACATCACGACTTTCTAGTAGAAGATAAGGCTCGTGCGGATGAAAGGAAGGAAATTATTGATGTGGTGCAAGATATGATTGAACATCACGACCAGTTGTTTCAGGTAGTAGGATCGGCATTGATTATTACATTTTTGCATCACCCGGGAGTAATTCTGATACTTTGAAATGCTACGTAATGACGCCTATCGGCGCCTATCCCTTCAACGTCACACACACGTTCCTAGAAACGAGTGAGACCTGGGTTTGAGATAAGCCGCGGTCTTCGGGCGCACATGAAATAATAACACAACACGAGTTTCCCTCAATCTCCGCAGCTTAGTCATTTTCTTTTTGTCTCTGCAAGCCATAACCTCCAATATTACGTTGTTTTCATGCACTTTTGATATCCAATTAGACGCTGTTGAAATTTTTTCTCTTCTTTTTTCATTCTTTAAGGTTTCTGCAGAAATGCATCATGACGCGCTGGTTCATCTTTTGGAAAATGAACCGGAACTTCTGGATTTCATTTTAAGGAGAAGGTTACTGAGAACGCACGGAGTAAGGTAAAAAGTGTGGAAAACATTCTTCTTGAACGGGTAGATTTTGATTGTTGTGAGGTGGAGTTATATTTCAACATTGTCTTTTAACTCTGTATCTTCAAAAGTAAATGGAGGGTTTGTATACACATAAATTTTACGTGTTCGTCAATGTACTTGAAGGGAGGGGGGGATGAACGGAAGGCTCGGAAGAGACTGCTTATGTCACGATAAAATTTACCTTTAATATTCCCATAATTCCCTCTCATGGGCAGCCATTAGGCAGTCGATTGTCTATGGTGCCCCCTATTATTGGTGACGACTGTTCCCCCTCCATTCCTTTTCCGTTCCTCCTGAAAATCGTAGGACCCCTCCCCCCACCCAAAAAATGCCCTGACCCTTCTCTCCCAGAGGATAAAAATGACTGGTTCCTAGGACTTAAAAGCATGATAACCCACTAATAAGCCAGAACCTAGTGCGGTCCTATTGTTAAAGAAATTTTTTTTCAGACACGTTTTGAAAATACATACAGGTGTGTCCCCTCGGAAAGGGTGGACGCCCCTCCCCCTTAGATTATCTCCCACGGTAGTTTATCGCTCTTTCTTGTGAGCGCCATATTCACTCATGTGGAAAATAAACCGCATCTCTTACCTTCATCTTAACCTCTCCTTCTCTCAATTTTCTAAACAGCTCTGAAACGGAAGACGATCCCTTCATTTACGAAACTAGTGGTAAAGCAGAGACGCCAGTAAGAGGACGCGTCATGTCCGCTGGAGCGGCAGAGCGTCCTGTAACACGCTTTTCGAACGCGTCTGGTTCGCGTTCTTTCAACGAAGCAAACTGGCGTGCGAGACAAAATCCTTCACCACGCACAGTGACACGTAGCAGTAGTGATAAATCGAATCACAATTCTGCATTTCCTAATCGTAGTTATTCTTTGAATCAAGACGATGCTAGGTATTACCGAGAACACATGTTCGGGCGACAGATGTCTTCACCCGACGATCACGCGTCGACGACGAGTTACAATTCAAATTATAGACAAAACAAACGAAAGACACCGCCGATGACGAGACCTACGTGCAGGTACGAAGGATCTGCTTTCGAGCAGCCTCCGTCTCCTGCTCTTTCTTCAGGGTCGGCTTCAGTTTCTTATTCAAACTTTTCCACACCTCCTTCATCTCCTTCGTCTACCGCGTTCGTTTCTGCGGAATCCACTTCATCGTCACCGATCCCAGTCCGGGCCTATGTGGCTGACGACGGACATTTAATAACTGAATGGACCAGCTTACAAACTGAAATTGAAGTTGAGTTGGCTCGGGACAGAAACGAGGAGTACAATCGTAATCAGCCGTTTGATTCTAGAACGTTTAGTCTTTCAGACTGGCAGCTGGAGAATTGGTTCCAGTGGGAATCTCTAACCCAACAAAACAGTAGCCAGAAAGACTTTCTGGAGCAGGAAACTTTAGTGTAGGAATTCTACGGTAACTGCTTTTAGTTTTAGTTTTTGATTGGCGAAAGAGGTCAATTTATTTAAACAGTCGCGGAGAACAAACACAATTTTTGGCGAATTATCGTTGAGGTACTCAAGGGTTTCAACACCCTGTCATCCAATCAGAAGAAGAATAGCTTTGTCAGAGTTATGGATAGGTAGGCTTAGCTACACCGCTGACCATTGCAGCTGGCTCAATCACTATTCAAAAAAACGGGAAGTTACTGTCATGTTGTCTTCGTTCCCACGACTATTAATATCTAAAGCTAGAGCTAAAAATAGAGGTTTGCATTGATAACAAAGCGCGAGAGAAGCATTTATTTATGTAAAAAAATATATTAATTAGAAAACGAGTGCCCTTCTATTCCACACCTGGATAGAAGAAATGAAAATATCATACAAATCTACACTGCGTGTAGACGCCAAGAGTAAAACCGACTTCGGTGAATTCCTTCCTGTTTTTGAAGGTGTATATACGAAAGAAATCAAGTTTGAGAGCGCACATAACTCAAGGTGAGAGAAGTAAAAATACCCAGGGCTTCTACGGCCAGGCGCCGGAAGAGAATGTCTGGGTACTAGAGTATCGAGAAATGCCTGTAACCAACCACAGTAGAGTTAGATATGTAAGCTTAACAGTTTGTAATTAATTTAAGCTTCGGGAGATGTCTGTGTTCGAAAGATACCCGCTAAAGTTCACGAGGTAGTCAGTAATCTTCGGAAAATATTCGTTCTTATCTCCGGTTGATCTCGTTCATGCAACAATTTCTTTGACAACATTGGCTGATTTTATTTACGTTCGTCATACCAAAAATGCGTGCCTAGATTTACTTAAATCAACATGCGTTACATTAGAACGTGGTATTTTAAGAAATGTTGTATTTGTGTATGATGGCTTTCTTGTAGGTGCATATCCTTATAACAGCGCGCACATTTCTCCCAATTTACTTTATCCAGATGAAAAACCTCTTAGAAACTGTAGCTTAAAGAAAGCCCTATTTTACCTCTGATAGTTTGTTTCCGTGCGTGCAAATTATGAAAAATCGCAATTCCATTATAAAGCTTCATCTCCCCCCCTCTGTGAAAGTGGTTTGTGGTTAAGCGGACAAAATAATGTTTAAAAAAAAACGATTTCTATTTACATGCTTGTATATAAAATAGAGAAGGTTGACTCGGTTTTAAATAAAAGTTCCAATTGTAATACAATGTTTCTAAACTTGTTGCATTGTTCTGTACTGTCTGGTTGGTCGTTGGTGCTCTTTTACTTTTTCTTTCCTTTCATTTCTCCGAAAAATGGTTTAGCCAGGCGATGGGGAGCATTTTACAAGGACGTCCTTTCAGACAGTTTACAAGCCTGAAAAGAATTAAATCAAAGAGTGCGTTTAAAATTAACTGCCATGAATCACATTTTCCAAAGATGACAACTAACTCGCTGAAAATGAGCAAGACATTTAAACGTTCTTAATCTTAATAGGGAGTATGTGAGCAGTAAAATTTTCAAATTTTCCATGTCTTGGATAAACAATAACAATTGTTGTTTTGTGGCAACTCACAAAATGGGTGCAATGAAATGACCACCATGTCCTCCGAATGCCGCTTTGGGACCACCACTGCTAGTGACCTCTTCCGTTGATGGTATCTGGAGGTTTCTCCTCATTGCGAGTTCGCCCTTCAACTACCTTTGCTATTTGCCCTCCTGGAGCGAGCTGGTGAAGGTGGAAGGGAAGCAAACTTGTTTTAATTCAGGGTGCAAACTCGCGCAAAGGTAGTAAAACTTGCACAAAGGTAGTAAAAATTGTATGTCAACGCAGGCTATTTTTCGACCACAGTTAGCCGGGTTACCTCACCTACCTGGGTTTCCCCAGCCTATTTAGCAAACCAAATTTGGTTTGCTAAGAATTCGGACACAACCGGACACAAACCTGATGGGTAAAAAAGCTGACGTTTCGAGCGTTAGCCCTTCGTCAGAGCGATTGGAATCTAATCGCTCTGACGAAGGGCTAACGCTCGAAACGTCAGCTTTTTTACCCTTTACGGTGGCTAATTTACGTTTTCAACCCAGTTGTTAACACTAAATTACCTGTTATACTCTCCCACCGACGCAGCACCACAGTTTCTTTAGAAACTTACCCCTTTATTCACAAACCTGATGGGCTTGGTAACCTATCGATCGAGCCAGCGAGTGGTTACCAAGCATAACTCTCTCTCTCTCAACCACGCGGTCGCCAGATAACAACACAGCCTTTTATAGTGTAAATTTGTAAATCTTTTGGTGATCAGATCATGTCTTTTCGTGGCCGAGGAGGGGGCCGTGGTGGTGGCGGTCGAGGTGGCCGTGGCGGTTTTCGAGGCGGAGGTCGTGGCGGTGGAAGGGGAGGTTTTCAGCAGAGAGATTTTGGGCCTCCCGATTATGTTACAGGTAATGGTAGACCTTACTCCTTGGTTAGAAAATTATTTTCTGAGCGCTTACTCTACTTAGTAAGCTGTATCGCTGGTTCATATACCAGCTTTAACTAGACTAGTATGAGTTACTTAGATCAGAGTTCACTCTAGTGAACCGAAGTTCTGCAAACACTCGTTTGCAATCGATGGTGATGATTCTTAGACGTCTGATAGATTGCAGTGGATTTCAAATTTAATCGATCATAAAGGAAAATAAAACTTCTCCAGCAAGCAATCATCTGTAGAAGCTGTAATTACATAGAATTGTATTTATGCACTTGTGCTTGGCCACTACGTGTAAAAGTAGGACGATTTTCACTTAAACTTTATCCTAAAATGATGGGAGGCATTTCAGCCAAATTAATTAAGTGTATGAACAAGTCAAGTTTCACATCTAGCTTGGCATGACGTGGCCGTCATAGTATTAGGGAACCAGGCCTGGGTTGTTTGAAGAGTGGATAATGCTGTCCACTGAATAGATCTCTTTCCAGTGGATAGCATGGTATGTTTTTTTAACACTTATCCACTGGATCATCATTTGTCCTTAGGATAGTATCATCTGCCCTTGAAGCAACTGGGTTCAGGCTCCAGTTGTTCAAAGGTTGGATATTGCTTTCCACTGTATAAAATTATCTCTGGTGGATAATGCTATATGGTTTGGTATCACTATTCTGCCAACGATTTATCAGTTAGATAGCGTTATCCGGCCTCTAAACAACTGGGTCCAGAAGGTTTCCTACTCCTCTTGGAAGACATCTGGGGAGGGGTTACTTGGGTTGATTTTTGCTGGGTATGTGCAGCTGGCCTCTCAGAACCCATATCCCATCGTAGTCTGATTTCTGGCCAATTGAAGACCCTGTCTTAGTCACTTTTGGGCAAAGGTAACTTTAGTGATCCCAACTTGGTCACTTTGGTAATAACTTTGTAACCCCAATTCTTCCCATTTCAAACCCATACCCTCTAAATCCTAAAAAATTGCAACCCCATTCTAATTGCTCTGTTTCAAATGCAACCCCATTATAGTCGATACAGTTGTGGTAAATGTGACGTTATCCTGAGGGACATCTCCATTAGTCAATTACAATTAAATAATCCCCCTGGAGAAGGGATGCAGCTTCCCTCATCTCCCTTAAAAGCATCTGCATTTGAACAGGTATCTTCCACCTTTTAATTGTGGTACCTATGATCACTCCTTAGTAGAGAGAGAGACATTATGAGGGTTAAATGACTCTCTGAAGAACTCAGCAGAATGATGCACGAGGGCTCAAACATGGAACTCTCAATAAAGGGGTTAACTCTAAAGTTCCCAGAAGTGATTAACATGTAATTTCTCCCCATGATATCTTTGCAATATCCAGCAACTAGTAATGAGAGTACTCCGATGTATCAAGTGAAAGTTGTTATTTTGATCTAACACCAAATTCCTGTAACTAATTTGTAAGGAAATGTGTAGCAGCTAAAGGGGAGAAAGAAGAATCAGATCTTGGGAGTTCAAGGGTTAAGTGCATTGACCCCAAAAACCATCCTTCTCCTACACAACAACAGAGTGGATTCAATTTCAATTTTTTTCAATTTTGCTTGATAACTAAGACATTGTTTTTGTTTTTCGCAGAGCTTGGACATGTGCTCCACACTTGTGAAGGAGATTTAGTGTGTAAATGTACAAATGAGAAGATTCCATACTTTAATGCTCCAGTGTACTTAGAAAACAAGTCACAGATCGGCAAAGTAGATGACATATTTGGTCCAATGACAGAATTTGTATCCTTGACCTAATTGCATAAAAATAGTGATGCTTCATCTCTTTAGCATGCACCGCCTTAAAAAATTTTAAAGTTTCCAACAATGTAAGCCATAGCCCCATAGCAGTCAAGTAAGAAAGACTGATACAAGTAAATAAACAGAATCACTGCCTTAGTGAACCCTTTACACCCTAACATCAGTATGCATATTCTCCATACTGTTCTCTATACATTTCCTAAGGTGCTGACAAGGAGAATTTGTTTAACAATCCAGACCTTCTATCGTTGGTGATCATTTCCTTTTTTCTTGTGACCTTTATGTGTGATTTGGGGGGATGTTGTGAGGAGAAATTAGATGCTTGTCACTCTCAGGGGCTAAACAGTTAAGCAGTGATTCTCCTAGGTAAGCTGCAATTTAAGAAATTGCAGAGAAGAAGCCCGAAAAAAAAAATTCAGGCTTGGACAGGATTTAAACCTGTGCCTCCCAGATACTAGTTGGGTGCCACAACTAACTGAGCTATGAAGCCACATCTTGAGAGTGAGGCACATCTCAGAAGGTTCTTCTATCCCATGAAGGAATCTGATTAGAATATTTATACTGAAATAAATTTCATTTGACCTGTGGATGAGATGGGCTGCAATTCATGCGATTTCGAAAAAAACATAATTTTATTTTTATTTTCCATGCTATTCGGAAATACATGGCATGTTTTAGTTGGGATGGTAGCTTCTCTATCTCACAGTTTTAAATTTGTATCCTTGAAAGTGTTGGAACTCCTCATATAGAATAGATGAAAAGAGTTATTGCAAAAAAGAAATTTCATTTGAGAGTTTTCCTTAACTATATGTTTGTTATGTAGTATTTCTCAGTGAAGGTTAACACAGATATGAAAGCTTCCTCCTTTAAAAAAGATCAAAAGGTAAGGGAATGTTAAATAGAGGGGTCACTTCTTTGACAACGGTGAACTTTTGCCGCTTGGTCAAGAAAAAAGGGTTCCTGTAACTTATAATCAATGATGTTGTAGAACCCTGTTTACGCAAACTCTCAAGGCAAACAAAAATGGTTTGAGTTATTGGGGATTCAAGTTATAAGTAATCTTGTTTTTACCGTTTTTTGCACAATCAATAGAGCTTTTTTTATAAGGACATTTAGTTAGGGAAATTTAGCTTATGGGTAATTTGTTACTTTCTTATGAAGTTATCTCATTCCTATCAGTGGGGATTAAAGATAGGGATGTGTCAATCAGCTCTGTTCTATTTGTATGGGCCAGTGTTTTTACTCAAAGTATGAGTTATCAGGGTAAATTTGAGTCAAGGGAAAGTAAAATTAATTTGAGTTAGCTGATAATAAATGACTGAAAAAACAGAGCCAAATCTGAGGGAATTGGATCTTGTTTGAGTTAGTGGGGGGTTAAAATTAACTGGGAACGAGTAAATGGGGTTCTACGAAATATTTTCAACTTTATGTCTGCTTCTTTTTAGTTCTTCATTGATCCTATGAAACTGTTACCTCTTGCCAGATTTCTCCCTAAACCTCCTGGCCAGAAAGGTATGTTATCTTCCATGACACATGGCATTCAATTGATTTCTAACACATCACTGAGACACAAAATTTGAATTTTTTTTAAAAGAAGTGTCCTGTTTTAAATTAGTTGTCGGGCAGGACACTCTGTTAGTGCACATTAGTTAAGGAAGAATTATGGGGTTTTTTTAGTATTCATGAAATGGGGAGATATGGCAGCCTAATGCTGTGCACACTTGACTCCAGTCAAGAGGTTTGCATGCGAGAACTGGCTGGGTCAATGTTTCTTCGGCAAAACACTTACCTTCCACTTTGCCTCTCGCCGGCCAGTGGTATAAATTAGTGCTGATGAATTGTCAGGGAAGCCAGATCAATTCCTGGGGGGAAATCTTGTGTTGGATTTGCATCCCTTCTTGAGGGGAGTACTGATACTCTTAGTCACTTCATGTGAGGGGAAAAAGGGATAAGCTCCAGCTGGATGAATTACCAGGCTTGAGTAAGGACTTTACATGAAGTAGGAAGGGTGTTGAGACACAAGGGAAGTTGTGTTTCTTCAGGTACATTGAGATACGGATCAATCCATGTCCATCTTTGTTGTTGTCTTATCATGTCTAACATCATTTGTGATTTCTCCCTTCAAGGACCCCCAGGGGGTGTTGGAGGTAGAGGAAGAGGTAAGTCAGACTCACTTTCATGACATAATGACTTTCTGTTTGTGTCAGTTGTGTTAATTTTTCTGCTGCTTAAACCTTTGTTTTTGTTTTGAAATTTCAGGAGGCAGAGGAGGTCGAGGTGGTGGACGTGGTAGAGGAGGTGGTGGTGGCTTTCGGGGAGGTGGCAGAGGTGGTGGAAGAGGTGGAGGAAGAGGTGGAGGAGGACGAGGTTTCAGGGGTGGTGGTGGAGGTTTTAGAGGTAATGGCTACTGCATTTAGAACAAGAATAGAAGAAAAAGTGAATGTTTGAAACCGTTTAGCTACTCAGATCTTGTTTGTTATTCACTTACGAAAATTACTGTCCTCTAGAAGAAATTGCATTGAAAATTTAGTAGACACACATTTCATTTCTTCTTGTAGGTCGTGGAAGATGAAGAGGAAACAAAGAATTGTGAAGTACTTTGGCACAGTTTAATTTATCAAATGTATATATCTGTTTGGGTATCATTATCCAGAATCCATATTACAGTTTGAGACCCCTGTGCAGATACATCTTAACTTGAACACTGAAAATAACTATCGTTCATCTTCGTTGTTGTTGTGTCTTCCGTATGCTGTCATTACACTTGGTTATGTCATAGGATTATTTTTATCTAATTTTTTAAATTAACAGTTAGGTGGCTGCTACATCAGTACAAGAAGTTGTGATCAGCTTTATACTGAACAACAAATACAAATCATTTTTTGCATTGCAATATATCTGCATCTCACGTTTTTTAGGGGGTCATTAAAAAAAACCTTCTGTGTGGTGCCCATGCAAAAAATGAGAACTGATGGGGGTATGGTAGTGGAGGTTCATGAAAGCTCACTACTCCCCCTTACCTCATAAAAAAAAACGTTCCTTGACAAAAAATGTGATTTGAGGTTGTCTCAGATCAAAGGTTTCCCTCGTAGTCATCTGATTGGAACAAGAATGGTGATTAAGTTAGATTTAAGGATTTGGACAAATAGCTGCATTGTACACTGATCAAAGACTTTACATCGCTTTTTGTAAGTGACCTTTGGACCCCCAACTCAGCCATTAAATGGAAAAAAAAATTTAAAGAAAGACATATTTTTGGTTTTTAAACAGAAACTCTTGCGCTTTTTTTTTTGAACTGTAAAATGGAATGTTAAGTAGTATTTGTTAAAAGAAGCATGATAAACCAGTTCTCCTTTTTTGTAATTTCAAAGCTATTTTAATACAGCACATTTGGATGGAACACCTTAGAATTAAACATAGCAGCCAAGAAACCGACAAAAACTCAAAGTAAACATTAGCGCAATGTATGCATGGCGGGAAAACTCGAGTGGCGATTGGTAACATTTTTTCACCTGATTGGTTAAGAGGGTGAAGTGAGGTTTTTTTTTTTTCACTAGTCACAGACCAGAGCAAAGAGTTGTATAACCAAAACCAAAGTTATCACAACAGCCAATCAGAGGAGAGAAAATTATCACAAGGCGCCAAAGAAAATGCAAAAGTCAAAACAAGCAAAGAGTTCAAAGTGCAACATGAACCTTTGACAGGGTGGTATGAGATTTTTGGGCCAATCACAAAGCGAAGTAAAGAAATATTAAACAAATCCCGGACTTTGAAAATTGCGCTAAAGCAGTGGATTACTTCCAAGACTCAAATGTAATTTACATTAAACGGGCTGTCTCAAGAGCTATCTTTTCACTATGTGCTCGTTCTTGTATGGGAGGGGTACCAGATTATAGTCATGCCTTATGCGGTTCTTCAAATCGCGCCATTGGTGCAGCGGCTTCGGTTTTGGGGGAATAAGTCGGTAGTATGTCCTGCCTGTAGTGGTTTGACAAATATCTGGAAGCCACAGAGTATCGCGTGAGTGTATCTCGCGAGTAGCTGCGCGCGTGTCCTCGCGCTTGCTTCCGCGGGTCCCGGCCCTAGTTCCAGTCATTTCGTCGTCTTCCGGCTGGTTCTTTCTCGACTTCTGTTTCTTGCCCAGATCCTGCAAGTTAAAAAAAGAGGCTTCTCTTTCAAACGCTCAATCGATATTTCTGAATCCGTATATATTCTTTCAGAACGGTGGTGGGAATTCTGGTCGGCGCTCTTATCAACTTGGTAATTTCGATTAACTCTCCTTTACCAATCAATTTGGCGCCGTCGTCTTAGATACGGGATGTTGATAGTATGATTTCCTTGCAATTTAAGTTTACGGCTGGAACGTGATTTTTAGAAAGCTGAATACTTTGCTTGGACAAGTAACGGTATTTCTTAAAGTTAGTGTCCTTCTTTTACAGCTTCTGTGTAATTTATTCTAGTTTGGCCCATTATTTCTCTGCCTTGTTTGGATTTGGTAAACATTGACATTTTAAAATGGAACTTTTGTTTGCTGTTGCGTAACATTTAAGACCAAATCTGGTAAACAGAATAACATCTCTGCTAAATAAAATGGCATCCCCTGAGTTGTCTTCAAACTGAGAAAAAAATTTTGCTTTTTACAATGAACAAAATTACCAGACCCCGAAATCGTAAAGTGAAATTTAGACTCACTTGTCGTGTGTATTTTTCTTTGAGGCGTTCCAAAGCAAGATGTTTCCTTTCGATCACGCGCTGTCGTCTTTGGGCTTCCTGGTGGTAGGCTTCATGATACATTTTCAAGCTTCAAATTTACTGCAGCACTCAGAAAAAAGTCCAACGTGGCCCCTTTAGTGAGCAGAATGAACGATTGCAGTCGGAAATCCAAATGTGTGACCAAAAAGATCTTATTAACACGTTGTTTAAATTTGATTGTCTTTTTAGTTGTTGCTTCAAGGGTGTAAGAGAGCGCTCTCTTGGGACAGTATTGTTTGGTTTGTGTGTTGGGAAATGACAATCAACAGAAGGATAACACACTTCAAATGAGTTCATAATTGCAAATGTGTAAACACTTGACGATCGCGATGTCACCTAGACCGCGAAACTTTTCGCTGTTACAGATTTCATCATCTTCTCGTAAGTGTGCAAACGTGCGCGCGACAAATTTGAATTAAAATGAGCATGTATGCATCTGGAATAAAGAGAAAGCTCTTTTGATTAAAACAAAGGCTGTTTGCCCGCAAGATGATGGCTTTGTCTGTGAAATTTATCAAACGGGTTTCTGTAAGCAGAGGATTTAATTTCCTTTCTGAAGAGAGCTCTAAATGTCTTTTATGTCATGTTTATGTGCATTGTGTGGCATTCTTCGGATAGCGGATGGGCCCCGAGAGATTTAGCTGGAGGAACAGGCTAGACCTGAAACGTCATCGAAGTTTTGTCGCTTTGTGAACCCGCGTGATTGTGCAAACATCTGCCGAGGCGATTGGATTCCAAGTTGTAGTGTATTGATTATACATATACCTATCTTAATTATTGACAACAACCTTAGTATGGGTTCTAAGGTGAGCACTTTGTACGCGTCGTAGACAGAAAACACGAAGCACTTGAAAAGCTGAGAAAGCGCAGGGTGAGAAATAAAGCTTCGTAGTGATAGTAGCCATTGGAAGGGTTTTCAGAATTGTTTTTCACCTGTAGCTATCATCCATGTTACCCCCTTGTGCACAAAGCTGTTTACTACGTTCTTGAGGCAAGCTCTTTCCAAACATCTTTAAGAGTTCTTGTTGTAATGTCAACGTTATGCATTTTAAAATTCATCACTTCGTTAGTTCTAGTATTGATGAAAGTGACCCAAAAAAAGGAAAGGAAGATGCTTTTATTGAAATACCTTATCTTTACAATGTTTTCGTAAATTCTTCTTATCTTCGATAGGATATGCAATATTCATAATTTTTAAGTTAAGCTGTCTCTTCTTTGTAACGAAGTACGGTTTTTTTCGGTTTTTTTCTCCTTTCATAATTCTGGTTGCCTAGGATTTTATTGTTTACTTCAATTCTCAGACAAATGCAAATTTAATCTGCGCGACAAAGTTCAACAAAAGATGATAATTCACTGATTATGTTTTTACAGTTTTCACAGTCCAAATTATTCTCTGAAAAAAATCATGTAACGCTCTCAGAATCGATTTTTTTGTTTTCCGCACGACTTTGATGAACTTTTGGAATAATTTAAAACAATTCTCTATCCTTGTTATCCTTGGATGAGGGATTTGTCATGATTTATCACCAGGGGGAGGCAGGAGTCGGACTTTAAAGGGATCCAGGATTTTCAGGGGAAACGGAGATGGAATCACTCTTCACCAACAGAGTATAAAATGGGAGACTATAGAAAATTGACTGCCAACTGCCAATGACAGAGGATCATAGGATTATAACAGAACCTTATGAGGTGGCTCTGGTCAATTTCATCGTGCGTGACACGACCAAAACGTGCGTGACACAACCAAACTCCTCCCACCCACCCCTCCCCACTGCGATAAATAATAATCAGTCTTTAAATGGTTTTATTTCCTGCCCACGACCTTGACAGACAAAGCCGAAAGGCGGAGAACTTTCAACATTACATACCGCACAGCTCTTGAAGCAAATTGCATGCTTTTATAAGGCTGCTACAACCGCATAACGGCACTCGAAGAGAGTCCTTGATGCAGGAGAGTCTAGTCCCCACTTTGATTCGAAAAACACAAATTTTTGTTATTACACAATGATCTAAGTAAGCTAAGTAATTTTCAAACAAGTTAATTTCAATTACCTCATATTAATAAGTAACATGCGATCTTGTCGTTACAACTAATTTTGGCGTCAGACAAGAGGTCTGACGGGGAGGGGGAACCAGAGTTTCCGGACCCTCTGGGTCCACTACCGCCATGAGTTGCGACTATGGGCGCGTATGCGACGAATTGATAGCATTCTCTGAAACTGCCCACCCTAATATCAAATTAAATAGATGAAATGAAATAAACAATATGTTATATAGATACTGTAGTATTAATGGTACAATAGTGCGATCGATTAGTTACTTCTAGCCTTAATTATGCCATTCGAAGCAAATTTCTTAGAAAAAATTATGTTGTGTCGCTCAGTCATTGCAGTTTTTTTGGCGAATGAGGATAAATTTGGTGCGTTACGCATTGGTGAGTACATTTGCGTTCTGTCGCCATAGACAACGACAACTGTTCAATTCCTTGGCAAGTGCGCTTGATAAAGAAACCAGAAAGTTACTCACATTATATGTTAGTAATGAAAGATTTTCGAACGAAACTTTTCTGAAGTGGAATTCCACTTAAATCCTGAACTATCTCCAAACTAAGAGTCCTTGTGAAGTCTCACAATGACTACTTTCCTCGCCCAAAAGACTTAAATTTTTCCATCTGCATTGTCAGTGAAATCTTGTTAAGAAAATCTAACTAAAACCTATGGCTGAAATCAAAGTATTATGTTAGATACGTCAGTGTCTTTGGTTTTTCGATACTTGATCTAGAAAAAGGTACGCGTCGTGCTTGTAAGTGGACAGTGTAAGAAGAAAGTGTACCCATCATACCTGTTAGTGGACAGTGTCTGGTGCTGGGTTCCTAACAGCGTACGCGTCATGCCTGTGTAATTGGACAGTGCGCATCAGGAGCGCGCAGACCTACTTGTCGTGCATTTCGCTAAGATAACTTTTTTTTTGGTATGAAAACGTATAACCGATGACTTTTTTGCTTCTCAAATTTTTTCATAGGTTTGATAAATTGGTAATGGGACTTCGCGTCGTACAATTCTGTCTGTAATCATACTTGTAATTAACAAGTCAGACACCCGCTTCGAGGTCGTCCGATTTGTTGATCCCTCGTATGATTACAGACCAAATTGGACTCCACTCAGTACAATTACCGTGACGCCATCTTACGTCAGTGGATTACAGCTGATAACAATCAAATTTGACGTCAGAAAGGCTGAGGGGCTTAGTGAGACGATGCTTTCAACCTTTCACTTGCCAAAGGATTGTATGGTTTAATACCGAGGCTTGTCATTCAAGTTTCCTAGAAATAAAAGAGGCTGCTATAATTGTCGGCGTATTCAAAGTATTAATCGTGCAGGGCAGTTGATCCTATTCATAAACGAAATGGCAGAGGCTTATCACAACGAAGCTTTACGAAAACAAAGGATTGTCGATAAAATGCACGCAGCGTTGGCAAGGATTGAGTATGGACAGGTGAGATTGGTGTAGAATAGTATAGTACAAAAACAATCGTAATTTTATGAAAATGATTTGAAGCAGTTTCTTGTTATTAATATGTATCTAAGAACGGTCAAATTCAGTCCAGACATCGACAGTCAGAATGCATCCGTTAATAATTACGGTATGAATGGTTAGCGTGCTCGAGGAAAATTTGCGACAAATTAAACAGGTGTTCAAATGAAAGGGAAAACCCTTTGTATCCCAGAATGCTTTGCGATGAGCATTCGTCCTTAGATACCAAAGAAGCAACAAATTCTTGGCACACGGGAAGTGTTTATACTCTGAAATAGCTTCACGAATTGAGGATAACATCGCAGATATCTCTTCATAAACGCCAAATGGCTGAAGCATACCATAAAGAAGCCTTACGAAAGCAAAGAATCATCGACAAAAAGAATGCAGCATTAGCAAGAATTGCCGTTCGACAGGTTTGAAGTTCTTCGCCTTTTGCCCGGCTTGTTTTGTGTTTGCGAGTAGGAAATTATTCACGCTGCTATTTGACGGTTGTTGAACTGTCGAACATTTCTATTAAATGATAAGCTAGTATCTTAGAATTCCAGTCGATAATTAAATATATTCAGAAAGGCTCACTATTCTGCGTTGAACTCTTAAGCTGAACTTCATTGAAATTCGAGTAGTTTGGTAATTAGCTGTTTGCATAAACGACGAGCGGAATGTTTAATAGCTTTGAGTCGCAGAGAATGATTTTGTTGTTGTATTTGATCCAGGAAATAGCCTTCCAATAGTGCAGCTTTTTAGAGTGAAATAATGTTCAAGAAATTTTGTACGCTTCAAATTTAGCCCAGCTGTATACAGTTGTAATGCCCGAGGCAACATGGAGACAGTCGCCGTAACCGAGCTTGAATTTTGATTACAAACGGGAATTTTATTTTGTTTTTAAAAACTTTGACGACATCGACTCTGAAAGTGATTTATTCAAAGATGAACACAGCTATCACTGATAAAGGACTATGACGATTTTAATTTGGGACATTTATTTTTCTAACAAAGCATTTACTCTATTTCCTTGGCGTAGATTGATTAATTATTTTTTAAGGGATCCTTATGCACAAATAAACCTTGTATCTAGCTTGAGTCTCTAGCCAGCTGTTGTACTCACAGGTGCTGAGGTTAACTGGGTGTTTGGAGAAGGTTTGAACAATGAAGGAGGTGATACCCTGGTTAAGAAGGTATTTTTTTTAGTTGGGTGTAACTGTTCTGAGGCAGGACAGCAACTCACTAGCCATCCGTACACTTGTTACTTAGGCGTGGAGAACCTAAGTATTGTGCTCATCAACCTTTATAACACTGGGTTTCTTTCTCTCTTCATCTCTCATACACTCATGCCACTTCATTTCCTTACTCAGATATTTATACTTTTTCTTTTATTCCAGCAACTGGAAGATGACAGAAGAAGGTCTGAAGAACAAAGACACCGACATGAAATGGCTGAGAGAGAGCATGAAAAGGCAAGGAAGAGAGAAGAATACTTAAGCAGTATGGGCAGAACTGGCAGGAGTACACAGGGAGTGATCAATGCCAATTTTGTCCACATGCCTGAAGAAAAGAAGAATAAAATTTGCCAGAAAGATCTACGTCACCAGGAAAGAGTATTGCGTGACAGTTGCCTTGTGATGGGTAGAGTGAATGAGTATTTTCTAGCATGACAAAAACTGGTTGCTCACAGCATACATGACTAAACTGAAATAACATGTTTTACTCTTGATTAGCTGTGTTACAGTTTGGGCCCTGGATGTTTTCCATCTATGTCAGCATTCATCATCCTTGAATTTTCTGTTTGTTATTGTTTTTGTCTGTGTGGTAATTTGGGCATCTCACCCCTTAATCTTTTTTGGATGAAGCAAATATTTAGCACGTAAAAAAAGATTCCAATTACTGTGACATTTCAAATCTGGTAACTTTTATCCTCACAAGATAGGAAATTGTAAGATTTTTGTCTTTCTGTGGCAAATAATTATGACAAGTTCAGATTGTAAAAAGTAATTTTGAAACCTTGTTATCACAATGTGCAATTTTGTTTACACATAATTTGATACCAAAATTATCTCATCACTTTATAGTCAGAATAAGCAGGAAATGTCCAAAGTACAATCCATCTAACACTTCAGAGAAACTCACATTTCAGGTCGAAGGTGATAGAGCTGATCATGTACAATATCCCACCCTTAAAAATTCTTGACTCAAAACAAACCCTTCAAAGGATAATTTAGCAATTCAAGGTTTAGTGAGAGTTCAATGAGTTCTGAAAATCTATAGTGATTTTAAATACTCGTGTAGCTGTAAATTTGTCAGCTAGTGGTGCACAGATATGATATCCTTCTTGCATGCATGCATCAAGGTATTGTATGTAAGACTGATATGACTAATGCAGGATATAGCCTTTGACCTGTGTGCAAATAAAACATTTTTCACATGTCTACACTGTATCATATATGCTCTGGCTTTCAACTCTTTTGCTCTGACAAAGAGCTAACCTTCAAAATGTTAGGTTTAGAAACTGTTTAGGTGGCCAATTGACATCACCAACTCAGTTGAAAAAACCAAATTATTTTGTAACTCCCGTGCCCCCCCCCCCCTTGATGCAGCAACAAAGTTTCTTTGGAAAACTAATTACCCCTTCTGCCTTGACTTTTTGGTTAATTTTATTGACTGTGTAGTTCTCTTTATTACCTGTGGAAATCTTTTTTCAGTAAAAATGTTAATCACAATGCAGTTTTGCATAATGGAAACAGAAAATTTGAAATAAAAATGATTGATAAGCCTTCCCCTTTTTTTTTCACTAATTTAAAGGTAAAAAAAAATTTAAGACTACCACACAGCCTTTCCTCCGTCTGAATGCATTTTCCCTTCTTTGACGCTTTGTTTGTTTTCTGAAAGAGATCTGGGGCTCGACAAGAGTCACTATTTCAGAAATGGTGAATTACTGCTGGAGAAGAATATTCCTGTAACACAAATTTGCACTAATCACCGATTCTTTGTTCAAATAAAACTCTACCTACCGGACCCCGCTTGGATTCGGTCGCTTTGCTCTTTCATGCATAATATTGCGTAACCTTTGGCTCATCTCGTGGTTTTGTGTTCTTTTGTTGTTGTAGGATAATACTTATTGGTTGAAACAGCGAACGAAGTATCCCTCGGGATGCATTTTATGGCCCTTACTAGAACCAAATATTAGATCTAGCGTGTGGATCTTGAATATTGTCTCGGGTTGAACAGCGTAAAGCTACGAGTTAACCTTTGATCATGAGTAGTACTACGACAAGTGAAACTACAAAACTGCACAAAGAACTCGAGACCGAGAAAGCCAACGAAGAACTGGAGTCAATCATGGTTGTTTATAATGGCAAACAACACACAGTGAAGTTTCCAATCAACGCCAACGCAAAAGTTATCAGTCAAAGTATCAAGAAAGTAACAGGAGTGAAAGGGTCGTTTTACGTGCATTTTGGCGAAAAGACAAACAACTATTTACACTCTTCAAGCGTGACTAGTGGAAATCTCGCTAAACTTGCAGGGCAGCCTCTCGAGCTTAGAGGTGGAAACGGTAAGTTCAAGTTTTCGTGACTGAGTTTGTCTGTGTTTAAAGCTCCGGTTTGGAATACGAAAGTGCGGTTTGGGTTTATTTAACAATGGGACAGTGATTGCCAATATTTTGATACTCGGCGAAGAACTTTGGACTTTGATTACTTTCCATCCTTACACGAATATTTTTCCTCTGGTTATTCGTTTTAAGCAAATCACATATAACTTTGATTCACTTTCTTTATTTTTATGGGCCCCTGTCACCTCTCGTAAGTTTGTTGGCCCTCCTAACGACTAAGCGAACATCTACGATCTACTTCAATCTACTGTAATATTGAGGACTGGGTGTTGGCGAAGCGTTTAAACGTGACGCGCGATTAAGCTAAAAATTATTACGTGACGCGTCGATTTTGTAAAAAGACAAGTAAAGTGAAGTTTAAACGTTTTCTCTTTAAATTCGTGAAGCTTGGAACTCTGTTTTAAGTACACGTGACGTGTGAGTTTGGCTAAAAATTGGAGCCCCCCTCCCCCCCCTTAACAAGTATTCCCTGAAGTGGAGGTGGCTAGTAGTGGATATTTACCAAGCTACAAAGGAGAGAAGTGAATATCCACTGAAAGCCACCAGCACTGAGGTGAGTAGATGTTTTAGCACATACTAAAACAGTGAGATAGTACAGCACAAAGAGATTACTTAGACTTGTTTTTTCCTGCAATGGTTACAATGTTTTTGGGTGCAAACATGGCACATAATCTCTTGGAGTTGAATAGTAAATGTTATTCAGAGTTTGAGTACCAAATCAGAGTGTGCCTTTAATGCTATTCACTATTTCTGGTGAATACTGAACAGTTTTATCCAAGATTATTCAAGGTGGTTTTTAAATTATGTTGGCTTGAGAATGAGTATCCTCAGAAAATACATATACAAGCTGTATAAATAATTGGTATAAAAATTAGCTGTTAACAGATTAAAATCAAGCTCAGCATTTTCCTCCATGTTGTTCACAGAAACTACTGACCATGAAACAAGTATTGTATTTACATTGCACCCCCTTGGGATTCAAGCTCTCCGTGCCACTACAACACAGTATGCTCAACTCTAGAGAACATCTTTTAGACCTAATAGCTTCCAAAATTTAATTCTGAGGTATGAAGTTGAAAACATTTTGTAACTTCGATTGTTTACTTCTAACAGCAATGTCACAGATTTAACCTTCTGCACCCTAACATCATTATGCATATTCTCTATACTGTTCTCTATACATTTTCAAGGTTCTAACAAGGAGAATTTGTAATAACACTAAGAGCCTCATTAGTTGCTGATCATTTCCTATATTCTCGTGACTGAAACATTTTATTCAGGGATGATATTGTAAGGAGAATTAGAACCTTGTCTCTGTTAAGGATTAAAGGGTTAATGTAACAGTTAACAATCAAATCAGTTATTTATTATTGGAAAGCTTTTCTGAATTACTGATTACTAAATTTTTTTACATCACCAGCATTTAACAAAGGAGGTGATTCTATATGGTACTATAACAGTCAAGCCCTCAAACCTGAAGTTACGAAAAAGTGCAGGGAGATGGAAATTGTACCATTTGATAACCCTCCTTAACTACTGTCATCAAAAGACTGTGGAGTAAATGATCAATAGGTTATAAGGCATGCGGATATTGGCCTTCTCTCGTCTGATTCATTTACAACAAATACCATAGTGTGAAGACGTGTGCTTTTGGAAGCATTCAAGTGTGGTTGTTCTCGTGAAGTTTGTTGAGTGATGCAAAGACTGTCAGAGACAGCTAAGAAAAGTCAGCAGTTAATGAAAATATCACCTGAATACAGTTAATTATAACTGGAAATAAACTGTCATGAAATAAAACAAATTAACCCTTCAACTTCCAAGATCTGATTGTCAATAAATTCTCCCCTCTAACTGACTCACAATTCCTTGTAAATAAGTTATGAGAATTTGGTGTTAACTCAAGATAACAACTTCTTCCTGATAAGTTTGAGTATTCTCATTACCTAGTGGCCAGATAATGTACAGATATCATAGGGAGAAGTTACAAGTCAATCAATTCTGGGAGTTAACCCTTTCACTTCCAAGAGTGACCAAGACAGAATTTCTCCTTACAATATCAATACAATATCAAGCAGGCAGGTGATGAGAGTAGAGAAGAATATTGATCATGGGATTATTAGTTGATCCAATACCAAATTCTCTGAACTAACATCTTAAGAATTGTATGGCAGATAGTAAGGAGAATTACTAATTAGATCTTGGGAGTTAAAGGGTTAAAAAATAGATGCCATTTTGCCGTGCCTCTGTGTTGCAAGAGATCACAGATGACATCAAAATAAAGCAAGAACTAAAAAGTGGCACACAAGGCGCAGCTGTGTGTCACTAAATGAAATGTTCTAACTACATTTTGATGTCATCTGTGATTTATTACTGTGCAGACCCACAGCAACATGGATTCTACTTGTTTTATACATTAAGAAGCCAAATGTCGTCAATTCAGACATCATATATGGACCTCTCTTTCAGTAGATCATAACTAAAAACTTATCAAAATGCATAATATAATTCAGCTTATCACATAATTTTAATGATATAATTCTTTGTATCAAGTTGTGTGAATTAATTGAAAGATGCAGTGTGTCTGAGTGAACACACACAGGGACAAATTTAATGAAACTGAATTTTGTTTGTGAGGGGATGTGGTGAATAAAAGACAGTAGAGGACTTGGCAGTCATTGTTGTCTAATTAAAAAATACTGCATTTCCTTGAATAAGTACCCACCCCCTTGGACTTAATTTTAAAAAAGAACCTCTTTCAAATAAGCAGTGCCCCCTCCTCCCTCACTTTCATAATAGTAGGGGCACAAGGACATCTGAGCTGTTGCTACTTCTGCTGTTATTAGAATTTTTTAAGCTTCAACTACTGTGAAATCTGTACAGGATAATCATAAGCATTGCTCTTGATTAAGTGGCCTCCTTCACAATGAAATATCAGATAAGCACTCAGCATTTCTTTGAGGAAATATGGTAGATTCCATGGTGCCATGCATCTTTTCTATAGAAGATCAAAGCAATAACAAAATGTAATAACAACAAATGTGGCACACATCAGGAACGGCTAAGTGTGTCACCACATTGCAAATGTTGTGTAATCAATAGCTTCAATGCAAGAATGCTTCTGAGGTGACTGTATTCCTCATAGGGGTGGAAGTGGCAAAAGTTGGACAAAATATTTGATTGGTAATGGGTGACCAAGGCCTTCAAATTATGACCTTGTTTAATTAATAACCCTTTAACTCCCACAGGTGACCAAGACATAATTTCTCCTTACAATATCATAACAATATCAAGCAGAAATGCTATGAGAATAAAAAAGAAATCAGTAAGGAGATTGCTGGTTGATCAGAAACCAAATTCTCAGAGGTAAAATCATGAGTTCTGTATAGCAGAAAGTAAGGAGAAGTACCAATGAGATCTTGGGAGTGAAAGGGTCACTTTCAGCACCCTAACATCAGTACTCTTATGTTAATCAAACTGTAGCAAACAGATGCAACTTAACATTGTAATAATTTGATTTAGCCCCCTCATTCCAATAAGTGCTCCTACTCCAAGAAGCTTTCCTTTTCTATTTCAATGATAGCACTAACAGTACATTCCCAACCATTACATTGCAAATTTTCACTGTATATTTGTTACTTTTACAGTTTGCACTTTTGTTCCTTATTAGATAAAATCAAAGCCTTGTTTTCCATATTGCACTGTTTCTCAAATGAAATAAGCACCCTGTTCCTAATAAGCACCCTAGGCACTAAATCAAACTTTACGTTAACTCTGTAACTAAAAGTTATACACACAAAATACCATACACAAAAGTTTCTTTATGAGTTTATTTATTAAAATTTAGTACACTATGCTGTATTACACAGTATACCATCTGTACTTTCTATCCCTATGATGCTATCATTTTGTTATTCCTTCAACTCCCATGGGTGACCAAGACAGAATTTCTTCTTTAAAATATTGATGCAATATCATGCAAACAGGTGACGACAATGAAGGAAAGTATCAATTAAAGATTAGTTGATCCAGTACCAAATTCTCTGAACTCACATCATGAGAATTGCATGGCAGAAAGTAAGGAGAATGACTAATTAGCCCTTGGGAGTAAAAGGGTTAGCTCCATTCATTTGTTGGTGGGTGGCGTCATCACTTTAAATTAAAATTGGTTGGAAAAATATTAATTTTGAAACTTTACACCTTTTTCTGCCCAGAAAGACATTTCTACCTTGCTTTAAACAAGAGCTCCTATTCAACTGACAAAGTATGAATTAAGTGATAAGATTAGAGTACCTCCGACTTTCAGCCCTGTACAACTTGAATAACAATACACAAATAAATTTACTCCTACTTATATGTACCAAAAGGGTGTAAAACATTTGAACCAGTACAGTTGGTCAAGAACATGTCAATGCCCTTAAACATTTACAAAAAAGGAAAATATTGACACAAAGTGACCTTGCACTATGAGCTTAAAGGCTGGACTTGACAGTGAATTAATAATTTACTGCCACAAGCACAGCTTCAGGTCAGCTGCAGATTTGTGGAAATTTGTGCTTAACAAACCTATGTTGACAATTTCCCTGAGATGCAAGCCAAAAAAAACTGAAACATGTACATCACCATGTGAACTAGTAACTTTCCTTGGAAATGTTAATTAAAGAGGCCAACCAATATTTTTTACTCAAAGTTTGACTTGTCAAGTTTTTAGGTTTTGTTTTTCTTTAAATTATAATTGTTTTGTAACAATGCCACCTGTTTCAGTCTAATATGTGTTACCAGATTGGGGGCTCAAATATAAGTGTTTGTCCCTGTGCTTCAAGATGGGAACAAAGTGAATGAAATGTGAATTTTGCCAACAAAAGATAGTGTTCAACACTAAATATAATATCACGCAAGTTACCCGTTTGGACCCTCCATTAAAATAATATATTTCTGTACAGGTTCATATATTACTCTTCAATGTAAGTTTATGAGTCATGAATCAATAGTACGGTGAATGAGGAAAAGACTTAAATGTGGCAAAGAAAGGACTCTCATTCCTGTCATTGGTCAGTGGAATCCCTGAATAACACTTCTATTTCATAATAATTTCATGGCTTATTTCACTATGCAATGATAGGACGACATTCAACTTTAGTAAAGTACATTGTTCAAAAGAGAAACAAGAGATTTGGTAAGGAAATGTTTAAAGTTGAGTTTGTTCCTTCAGAAGGGTATAAGAAGCAGCCAAGAGGCTTTAAGTGCCACCATTGATGGTTGTGGCACAATTAATATCAGTTACACTTCACTTGCGCAAAACCTTTGACTTCCAAGAGTGACAAGTATATGAGTTCTATTCGCATTATAATACACTTTCATGCAGGCAGGTAATGAGAGTTATCAATGAACAAACTAAGGGTTTTTGCATTGACAGAACTTTTCAGAACCAACCAGCAGAGATGTGCACTCACTATCGTTAGAAAAATAGTTTTAGGATCTCAAGTGTGAAAGAATTATGTGAAATCCTATACTCTATTCACTCCAAAGCTACATCACGTTTCACAGCTGTTTTGTCAAACACAGAGACTGTTTTCTTCATTAAGTTGCTTAAAATGATGTTTGCTGACTTCAAATTAAGCACAATGAAGATAAAAGTTCATGCTTACTTGAACCCAAATAGTAAGTTTTAGTCTTTCAGTTTTCTATCACTGGTTTTTATTAAGTTAAACCTGGTTGAACTAAACATGTGTTGGTGGAGTGAAAGGAGCACTAGTCTATCATCTCAACGAAAGGCTTTGTAGTTAAAAGTTTTTTAAGCAGTCAGTATGGCAATGCCTCAGAAGACATCAATCATTTTTTGTAGAATTTTGAAAATAGCTGCATGTGTTTACCACCTCTTATGATGCCACTCCCCTACTTCAGCATAATGTAAAGGAAAATTGTTGAGTTCCAAATAAAAACTTATTAAATGATTTGGTGTCTGGGTTTCTGTTCTCAGACCACACAAATTTTGGCGATTGCACCTTTTTGCTTTGCAGGGGATGGCTAAGAAGTGCATGAAGTCTAAAATACATGTGCCAGGCTATTGTACTGCCCATGCATTAAGTCTTTGTTTTTTTACCACATCCTTATTGCCATTGCCATTGCCATTGTGGTTTGCTTCAAAGTCTCTATCGTGACAAGAAAAGACTTTTAAAAAACCTGAGCTAAAAGTCGCCATTACAGTCATGAGGTGACTTCTTCTCAGATTGTGAAAACATCACCCACTGTAAGGGACATCTGTTCTTGTCACCACTGTTCTCACACAGACAATTAGACCACCCCATCAAATGTAACCCCATAGTTGAACCTATTTTCTTTTAGTAAATGCTCTTGTATGCTTGTTGTTAGCAACCAGTAAAGCCTTTAATTTGATCCCATTTGTTGGATATTATGAATAGAGAAAATATAACAGACACTGCTATTAATAGTTTTACTTGACCATGTACAATAATATTTATACAAACACCAACTGGCAATGATCTTACTATTCATTTGCTAGAAAAATTAAATTCATATGATGTCTATTTACAAGATTGCTACTTTAACTCTTTTAATATACTATTTGTCTTCCAATGAGACAGGCATACTTTTCTGTTTGATTTCCTCTCATCTTGAGGCTACAAAAGAAGAAAGAATTAAACTGAAAATATGTTAGGGCTAAGTGTTATCAAACAAGAGACTCACACTCTCCCAGGACTTACCATTGTTTGCAATTATTGGGAGCACTAATGCAACTCCTAATTGAGATCCTATGCTGTCAACCAGCCCCCCTCCCTCCCTCACCAGCAATCTGCCCCCTTTCAAATTCCCTGACAGTAGGCTGACCTTTAGTAGAGGAAGTAAGAGAGTGGGCCCAGGAATGAGGTTGTTGAAATTGCCCCCTTTTTGCCGAGAACATTACGTTCAACTAGAGTTTCCTCAAAAAAAGGACAGACTCAAGCCCTTTTTTCACAATACTTCTGAGAAGGGGGAAAGGGAGACAGCTTCAGTGATAATTTCTGTGAAGTGTCATCCTTCTTAAATGTCTTTTCAGCTGAGCTGCCAACTTACAAGAGAGAGCTATTAAATTGTGCCAAAATAATTTCAGAGAAGAGTCCTTGTGGTGTGCCCTCTGATGTTTAGATTTTATTACTACATAGCTCAAGAAAAAAATAAAAATTTATCAAATATGGCCAAAATATACACTTATCAATAGCCTGACTGAAATTAATTGACAATTGTCATATTAATATCGAATAAATTCAAAATTGATATCAATGCCAATCAATATTCATCACATATTAATAAATCATTAATTTTTATCTTAAATAAAAGGGTTAAATGTACTTATTGTGTTGAATTAACCTTTAGAAAACTTTACCTTATGAAAGTCAGGTGATTTCTAACCCTTGACAATATTATTCTCAGGCAAAAGTCAGAATAATATTAATTCTATTTACCAGTTGTGGTTAGTTAAGTCCTAGGCAAATGGGTTTAATGTGGTTAAATCAGGCGTTAATATTCAACTGATGTTACATTACATGTTAATATTACTTTTAATCTAAATTTTCTTAAACACCAAACAAAATAATAATTTCATGTAAACAATGGAAAAAAATAGACATTTTATGAACGATTGCCATGAATGGGATGTGAAAAAAATAATGTTTACATACTTACTAGGTATTACAAAGATCATGCAAGCTCACAGCTCAGCTAAGGCTATCAAGCAAATAAAAATAATAACAAATGTTCAGTATTTACATCATCTGAGATCTCATCTCTTTCTCCACACTTTGTTCTCAATCTGTACAAAGAAGACGAAAAAAACAATTTGTTTGAAAATTCCAAGCATCTAGCTATTGGGAATCAAAACCTTTTTATAAGTCTCATACAAAACAAAATTAAAACTCTTTGAGAGATAAGAGTTAAGCACTCATTACCATCTTCTTTTTGAGGTCAATAGCCCAAATTTTCGAACTCTATTGATGGCAAAATTGTCCTCTACAATCCAATTAGTTCATTTCAGAAAGCTGAGCAAGTGAACTTGAAATAATAGAGATTAACAGGGAAATAAACTTCTATTAATCCTTGTTATCAATATTTCGAGAAAAAAAAACCTTCTATTGTTATCAGTTGAGTAAGGCACTAAAAGAGTTTGGTGACAGGTTTGACCACAACGTGATAGTGTTGTCAAATGGTAACCAAATCTCAAGAGCTACACGTCACCAACCATCAAACTACACAACCCAAAAGAAATCAAACAAAACATTGCCACTGGAAACAGACAACGACACAATTTTGTTACCACCGCGCCTCACTAAATTGAAAATTGCAGTACATTGTTGGAGAGAAGGAACAACAATCTGATCAAAGAGCCAGTTCTTACGTCCTCTGAAAGCTCATCAATCCAAAAATATAGTTTCACTAGATCATAAGAAACAAAAAGGTAAGGGGGTATTTGTATTCTACCTAGTAGCTGATAAATAATTTCACCACATCATATAGCTCAAACTCTTTGGTTACTCTAACTCCATTTTGAGTGAAAACCAGTGTTCACTGAGGCTTGTAGCAAGATGTTTAGTAGTAATAACAGTGTCAACAAAATGTATAGCTTTTGTCACACCTGTGCCTTGTAATCATCAGCTAGTTTCTGCCATTGTAATTTGTTTTCTCTACAGCCCTCTTTAAGCGGAGCAAGCTTTGGACTCATTAGTGTAAAAGCCTGCAAGAAAACTCAAAGATTCATCTACCTTGAAGTTCTGAGAAATTATAATTAATGTAGAGTTCTTTTTTTTTCGATAGCTAATCATAAGCCCAAAAGATAAACTTGAATTGCCAGTTGCTTATTAGCCAACAAATGAGGATTACTGGACATAATGTACAGGTTCATCAACCTTGTAAATAAACTGTTTAATTCCTTGTTACTGAGAGCGGGATTATTTTTTTTTATTGCAGTAAAATTCCATGACTTTCCATGACAGATTAAGAAAAAAAATTATGTTTTCCTAGAAAAGTTTGATTTTACACAAGATGTTGAGAACATTGAACCAAATGATTGAATGCCACTCACCTTATACAGAGGTAGACAGACAGAATCTATGAAACCAACTTGCATTTGTGGAAGTTCATCTTTCTTTGCCCTGTCCATCATAGCCATGGGTGTGGATTTCAACTCTTGTTGTTCAAGGTCACCTTGCTGAAAGAATTCCTCAGCCACAAGTAGTGCTGTCTTTAATGAGATGAGAAAAAACAATCCACTTACTTTTAAATAGGAAAAATCAACAGCAAAAACAAAAGAAACAGAACAAAATTTATTCAACAGCTGTGTTGAAAAAAAATTGTAAATCTTGGCATTGGTTTTTCAGTTGATCTAGCTCTCTCAAGTCACACCTATTGGAACATTATCTGGTAATTTAAGTCAACAAGATTATGGAAAATGATTGTTAAAAAAAAAAGACACTCAATTTTGAAATTGAGTTGTAATCATCACTGGCATGAAATTTAGAACAAGAACAACTACATTTTTCTTCTCAGAAGCACAATTATTTCAACAAACCATTAAAATGGTTAACCACTTAACTATGACCAAGCAGTAGAATCTCCTTACCCTTCTCTGTACAGGCCAAGGTTTGGTGATGGCTGAAAGATCACATGCTGTCATCATCATAGCTCTGAATGCATATAAGATATAAAGTGTTACTTAACCCTTTAACTCCCGAAAGTGATTAACAAGTAACTTCTCCCTATGCAATCCACACATTATCCTGTAAAAGGGTTATGAGAATATTCAAACTTATCAGTTGTTCTCTTGATCTAAAACCAAATCCTGATGACTACTTCATGGTCTTTGAAAAATTTACAAGTGCTTAATTACACCAAATTGCTTGAGAAATCATCTGGTTACTTGTTAATAATTTACATGAAAAATGCATTACAGAAAGTCAAGTGGAGTAAATTTCTGTAACTTGTGTGCTATTTATAATTTGCACTTGTGTTACAACTTTGCACTTGTGCTACATGAAAAATGCACTTGTTTTCTGCCAATCAGATGCGCGTAGTTTTTTCATGTACATTATTAGAATCTGGGCTGGTTGGGGTATGTGAAATAAGCAACAAGGCTATAAATAGTTACATCAATTAAAAAATGACTAAAAAGCATAATTTCTTGATACTCAGTTGTTCAACAAAAGTTGGAAAAAACCCTGAAAATATTAAAAGATGTTTTCACACCTCAAAAGTTCTCTGTTTTCATCAGTTGACCAATCTTCAAGTCCAGCTTCAGCTTTCTTGAAAAATTCAGCCCGTTTCCTAAGACAAAAAAGATTCAGAATGGAAATGCCTCCTTGACATTATGCCCAAGAACAAAAATCATTATCAAGTGCATCAACCTGGTAAGAACACTATACTGTCTATTACTTACTGGAAGTACAAGGCTAGATCAGTTGCAATGATTGCTTGTTCTACAAGTTTGATCACTTTGTTATAATCCTCAGCTGAGAGAGATCCAAAAATTTCATTTCCCTAAAATGAGTATTAGGCAAAACAATACTAAGTTAAGTAAAAGAGATAAAAAATATTTAATGCATTACTCATCTAGTGTGAAATAGTTATTAACATCAGTCAACATTATTTGACAAAACATAAAATACTGCAATTTTCAGACGAGCGAGGCGTGGGGGAAGTTTGGTGACCAATTTTGATGTAAAAATTCTGTTATTGTCATAGGTAACTAGCTCTGTTTCTTATGGCAATATGTTGTTTCACTTCTTTTGCTGAACTTTCATGTTCAATGGTTGGTGATAATTAGCTCTTGAGATTCAGTTACCACCCTTTTAATTGAGGAAGGTCACCTGTGCCAACACCATAATTTCATCACCTTACTTATCCACATCTCACTCAACTGATAATTGCAGTAGCAAGGTGTAACTGGAGAAAGGGACAGAGATGCTCTGAATAAACACTAAGTGTTCCAGAAATTCTAAATCACATACAAGCAAAAAAGCAATGAAACTGTATAAGATAGGGATTACTACAAAACATAACAAGCCATCTGGCCTAACCTTAATATCCTATCTCCCTTACAGATTAAACCAATAATCAATACCTGGCTGTTGATGATCATAATGCATTGATCAAAGTGATGATGCTCCATAGTTGATGTGCTATAAAGTTGCGCTAATGCCGAGGCACTCCTAAGGGTGTGGTGAATAGCTAGTTATCATAATTTGAATATTACACTTTAGCAATTTACATAATTTGTAGGTTGTGACATTAGTCAGGGTAATTTAGTATTATGAACTGTGTTGATAACGTAAATTTTTTGCCATAAAGAGTTTCAAAGCTGATGTTTCAAGTGTTAGCCCTTTATCATAGCCATTCATCCCTTCTTTCCCTCTAACAAAGGGCTAAAGCTCAAAAAGTCAGCTTTTAAACTCTTTATAATGGCCAGTTCAGGTTATCAACTCAGTTGATGATACTAAATGACCCTGTTATACTCTAACACCCATGCAGCACCACAGTTTCTCAAGAAACTTACCCCCTTTATTCATGTGACAGTAGTCGACTGAGTTTAACACTCAAACAACCACTGTGAATGAGGAGAATTTTGTTAAAGAAAATGGAATGAGACCTAAGACTTAACCTTAACCCTTCAACTCCTAAGAGTGACTAGCATCTAATTTCTCCATACAGTATCAATCAGACATCAAACATTAACGTCATGAGAACAAAGAAAATGATCACCAACTTAAGATGCCCTGGCTGTAAAAAACAAACTCCCCTTGTGGGTACTATTGAAAATGTATAGAAAACAATAAGGAGAATATGCATGCTGATGTTAGGGTGCAAAACATTACATAAGAAGAACTTAACACACTCAAAATGAGTGTTCTGTCCACTTACTTTATTTGAAATGAATTGTTGGTTCCCCTGTGATCAAGATCGTGTGAAAGACAGGCAACTAGAAGAGCAAATTTCTCTTCTGGAGTAAACAACTTCCCAAATTCATCCACCTATAATCCAAAATATCACACTGTGGAAAAAACTAACACTAATGCCATATATAACAAGCATTTCCTTTTATGAAAACATTTTATGTTTATCAGGGCTCTGAGCTCATTCCTTTTTTAAGGTCACCATTACTTGATCTGGAATCACAAAATGGTGGCCAGAACTAAAAAATGGATAACTACCTTGAGAATGGTGAACATTGTCTGAGCTACATTAAATGCATGCCTCCAATTGTGGTACATCACAGGCCGGTAGTTTTTCTTCACTGTTAGGATCCAGCGACAGAGAACCTGATGAATACAAACATTAAGGTTGGTTACTAATGATGGAGCACATTTCATATGAGGATTGTACAGCAAAGACTAAATTTAAAGTAATCATAATCCTTTAACCCCACAAGGCTAACTGGCTTCTAGGTTCTCCTTACAGTTTCACCTATGAGTCAAATGAAAATGTTGTGAGAACAAAGGAAACGATCACCAATTTAAGAAGCTCCTTATTGCCAAACAAATTCTCCCCACCAGTACCAAGGGAAATGTTAAGAGAACACAGTGTGGAGAATATATATGTTTATGTTAAGAGTGTGAAGGACAAACAGCCAACACAAGGAACCAATGAAAAGTCAATGAGAAAACAAAAATACCCTGTGCATTGCGGGAAAATACAAAATTGTTTTATTTTTGTTTGTTTGATTGAAAGGGTAGCACAACTTTTGTAGGCCAACAGAGTGAAGTCAAACAACATAAATGAATTTAACCCTTTACCACCCTAACATCAGTATGTATATTCTCCAAACTGTTCCCTATACATTTTCCAAGGTGCTGACAAGAACGATTTTTTAAACAATCAAGAGAGTGTTAAGTGTCTGATCATTTCCCTATTCTCCTGACCTTAATGTGTGTTTAGTCATTCTTAGAGGTAAAAGGGTTGATTCTGGATGACGTTTCACACTCAATTGAAATTTACTCCGTAATAAAATAAAATCCAAAAATATATATTAACTATTCAAACAATTCTGTAAGCTAAATTAAGTAAAAACAAATAAAAAAGGAAGAGCAGTACACTGTTTTACCTGGTACTCCACATTAAAATGCTCATGTAACTTTAGGTCCATCACCATGGCAAGAGTGCCTAGAAGAGTATCTTGATCACTGACCAACTCATCATCAAAAGTGAACTCCAACAGATTAAGGGTTTTGATTGATGGTAAAGGAACAGACTGCCGAGGAGAAGGATAAAAATTAAGGTAAAAAAAATACAGTGAGCTTACAAGCTAGAAAACTGATTTTGCCAGAGCTTATCCCACTCTGAAGTGGGGGATGCAATGGCCTAATGGTAATTGCCCTGGGCCGGTTTGTTCAAAACATGGTTAACCCCTTCACTCCCAAGTTCTCGTGAGTAATTCTCCTCACTGTCTGCCATACCCTTCTCATGATGTTAGTTAATAGGGGATTTAGTCTTAGATCAACCAATAATCCCCTAACTGTTATTTTTCGTTATTCTTGTCACTACAAGTCTGCTTGATGTTGTTGGGTTTGTTACTTTACTATAGACACTTCATGCAATGGAAACTGTAAACCATAAACCATAAATAGTCCATTTTACAGTTGTTTACTTGGTTGTCAAGCCTCTGAACAGGAGTGATGCTAATTAACCCTTTCACTCTGAAGATCTCATTAGCAATTCTCCTTACTGTCTGCCATATAATTGTTATTGTTATTTTGGAGAATTTAGTATTGGATCAACTGATAATTGATACTTTTCTTTGTTCTCATCACTTGCCTGCTTAATGTTGTTTCAAAAGAGGAAGGAGAAATTCAGTCTTGGTCACTAAAGGGAGTTAGAGGGTTGACATGGACCTTGCTGCTTTTCAAATGTAAATCACTTTGTTATCATGCTAACTATACTGGCTAGACAGTGGTCCCTATCACAACATGGTCACCTTCAGCCTCACTCTAAATCAAAGGCTTGGCAACAAAGTACACAATTGTAAATAACCCATTCAAAGCTTTCAAGTGATATTGAAAAATCTTAGACTCTCCAGGTTTTCCATGGAACCTGAATTTTTAATCAAATGTAAAAGTTGTGTACCTTTAATTTGTTAGCTTCCTCCAAAGGGGCAGTGGCATGGTAAGAAAGAACCTTGAACACAACACAAAAACAAAAAATTAGTGACTTAACCCCAGAAAGTGGAGCAAGACAAGAGGAGGGTACTTATTTTGATCATGGTGTTCATCAAAAGCTGGCCACTAATTCAAACATTCAAGACATCCGTTAAACTTGCAGTGATTTCATTAATCCTTTACACTTAAACATCAGTATTCATATTCTCCATACTGTTCTTAAGCATTTCCTAAGGTATTGACAAGGAGAATTTGTTTCACAATCAAGAGCTTCCTCAGTTGGTGATCACTTCCTTTATTCATGTTACCTATATGAGTGATCCAGGAGTGATATTGAAAGGAGAAATTAGATATTAGTCACTCTTAAGGGTCTAAGGATTGAGATGTGGTACAAATGGACAGTCAAAAATAGCAGGCAAGTAGTTCTGAGGGGCTGGTAGGTCTTTCACTGCTAAGAATGTCCAAGCTTTCCCAGGAAATTTTGAAGTTCTAGAATCTTGCAGCAGCATCATCCTTTATTTTCCAGGTTTTCCCCAATAGTCCATTTTACAGTTGCATGTTTGGTTGCCAAGCTTTTGAACGGGAGTGAGGCTAAGGATGACCTTGTTATGATAAAAACCTTGCCTCTTTTTAAATGCAAATTACTTTTGGTATCATGCTAACTAGATACTGGTCTCTCTCACAACAAGGTCACCTTCAGCCTCACTCCAAATCAAAGACTTGGCAACTGAGCAGACAACTGTAAAATGGCCTGGTACTTTGACATTCTTGGATGTCAACATGTATATGTTAAGAGTACAATGACTTTTGAGAAATGCCACAGACAGATGGATCTACCTGCCACCCAACTGCTACTGAAACCCTGAGCTTGTTAATAAACAATTCTTACCTCCAGTGCAACTTTCTGTTTTGCCATAGCTTTGTTGACATTTTCATACATAACAGTATTCTGGATTGCCATGCCACAAAAGATTGCAAAAGCCTGTAAAACCAATGGAAAATAAGAAATATCATTACTGGATATGAAGGAATATTTTGGCATTTAAAAGTACAGGTGGGTATTGATAGAGCTCTATAATTTTGCATCTCTGTATAAGGAGGTCAACAAAAATCAAACTGATCCTCACAGATGTACTGCAAAAGAGGAAATTGAATAAAGAAAAGTCTGAATAAATTCTGGCTTTGAGAGAGTTCAAACCTTTGCCTTCCAGATATCAGACGACTGCCACTTCAAACTGGGCCATGTTAGCAGCAGCTAATAGGTTGAGATCAAATAATTCACTTGCCCATCTAAACAAGTTTCAAATCATATCTACCATAAGTGAACATACACTTTGTCAGAAGATATACCTCAAAGAGATTTTCATCATTCTTGTTGAAAGCCGTGCCATCAAGTTTGTTCAAGAGTTGGACAACACCTGAAAAAAAGAGAAGAGGAAAATGTACTTTTAAGAACTTAATGCTTAGAGAAAATGACTATTTGACAGTTATTAGCAAAGGATAGAAGAGTGGGCCTGGCTTATAAAAATCCTTGTTTGTTAACCCTTTAACCCCTAAGAATGACTAACATGAAATTCCTCCTTACAGTATCACCCCAGAATCACACATCAAGGTCATGAGAATAACAGAAATGATCACAAACTAAAGAAGCTCTTGATTGTTAAACAAATTCTCCTCTTCAGCACCTTAGTAAAAGGTATAGAGAACAGTGCGGAGAATATGCATGATGAATTTAGGTTGTAAAAAGTTAAACAAATACCACAGAACCAATTATGAAAAGAGTATAAACAACCAGACCAAACTAGACCAACCCAGTTGGCTGGGATCTTCATTATTAAATGCAAAGCACAATTATTGTAAAATTTTTAGATAAATGAATTAGACTACCAACATCAGTTTGGGCTTTACATCTCTCAAAGTGTCATGATCAAAAGCAGACCATGAAATTGGAGACATATCACTTAAACAGTTGTTTTAAGCTGCTGACAGTCATGTTGCAGACCACTTAACAAGCCTCAAGAGGTGGTATCCAATCATTTTGTATCCACAGTCATTTTGTTTCAATGATTCATACCCAAATTGCCAATACTCCGTTTTACACTTGACTGCTTGTCTGTCAAGCCTTTGAACAGAAGTGAGGCTAAGGTTGACCTTGTTATGATACAAACCTTGCTGCTTTCCAAATGTATATGACTTTGCTATCATGCTGACTAAATATTGGTCTCCATCATGACATGGTGACACCCTCAGCCTCACTCCAAATCAAAGGCTTGGCAACTAAGTACACAACTGTAAAATGGCCTATTATTGAGACAGACATTAATATTCCCTCCCTCACCTATAATTTCTTCACTGCTGTTCTTAATAGGCATACATAGAATTGTTTGGGTGACAAATCCTGAAGCTTGGTCAACCTGTGTAACAGAACAGGAAGAAAATATAAGTGGGCCGTGCAGTAGAGTAAAGCTTGCATTTTAAACTGATCATGTCACATATGGTTGCCAAGAGATGTCATTTAACATAAAATATTGGATACATACAGCTGGATCAAATCTCTCATCTTGATACGCATCGGGAATATTTAATGTCTAAAAAAAATAAAGGAAAAATCACAGATAATAACTTTTTAGTGCATCTATCTAAACCAAAGTCTCCCATACAAAAAAAGGCATCTCAAACCTCGCCAGTTGTTGCAACATGACCTGTAATTCCTATATTGATAGGAAATCGGACTTCTGTCTTGCTACTGAAAAGAAGAATATAAAACAACTATGACTAAAAGAACTAGACTCTTGAGCTCTGCAGTCCTTAACCCTTAAAATCCCATGTGAGACCAAAACAGAATTTCTCCTCACAATATCAATACAATATCAAGTAGATAAGTGATGAGAATAGAGAAAAATATCAATTAGGGGATTATTAGTTGATCTAATATCAAATTCTCTGAACTAACATCAAGAGAATAATTACAATAAATATATGAAAATCATACATGTGAACTGTAGTTTAAGAAATTAATATGGAAGCAATTCTTGCAGTTCTGAACTCTACTTAAGCAGTAGTGAAAATAAGGCCTGAAAAAAATTCAGGCCTGTATGGGATTTGACCTCTGCGATACTGGTGCAGTGCTTTACAACCTGAGCTAACAAGCAAGCTGGGAGCTGGTCATTATGTTGGTTCCAAATAAACCCTCAAAGGGGCAAATAAATGACTGTAAATACATGAAAATCATATATGTGAAGTGCAGTTGAAGAAACAAATATAGAAGCAATCCTCACAGTTATGAACACTATTTATAATATTATAATAAGTACTAGCAAAAATTTCAGGCTTTATTTTCACTACTATTTAAATAGTGTTCATAACTTCAAGACTCAAGTGGCATAAGTCAGTTGTTGTGTTCAGTTCATTTGTAATGTTTCAACTTGATGCCATGAATAAGTTGTTTATATGGTGCAGGTGGTGGTTAACACCTGTTGAGGGGAGTCTGTTCTAAGTTAGTAAGCCAGTTTTCCAGAGTCAGTTGTTGAAAGTAATTAGTGCTGTAGGTCAGGCATTACGCAGAGTCCCAGTCAATAGTGTGGTTTACAGCCAATAACATCATAGCAAAACTGACCAATCAGTTTATACATACTCACTCGAACAATCAAATTACACCATTACATTTTATTTCTTAACACATAATTCATTGTTTGAGTTTTGACACATAATTCATTGTTTGAGTTTTGTTTATCACTTGGAGCTTGTGTCTGGAAGCAGACAATCAGGAAATATTTACTGCATATGGAGTTTAGTCTTCCTGAAGCTCAAAAATTTTGTTGTATGCAGACTGGGCACATGAAACACCCGGGATTCAATGGATTAATAATTCTATAAAAGTTACATTTACCATGATCTGTGTTTCACCACGGTCTGATCATCTTCATTTAAATAGTCCCGGGCCTCTAAATCAAAAGCTTGAGAAAAAAGTGTCTACAATAAATAGAGAAAAAAAAAATTAAACTCAATTTTTTGTTAAAAATTGCTTTTCATAGTAATACTATACTAACAATTCTCTAAGCAAATGTTCATTCTTACTACCAACAACATATGTTTCAACTCACCTGGATCTTCTTTGGAATATATTGGTTAGGGATGTTCTTCA